AAACGGATCGCATCTCGCGCGCTGATTGGTTGAACGGAATATGCCCCGCGCCACCATATTTGTTTGTTAATTCGTTTGTTGTCGAATGTAAATTGATTGTTTTGATGACGTTCACAATCTTTCGGCAGTTTATAATCTCGCGAGATAGATTACAATCTAACGGTGTTTACAATTTTACGTTAACATATTATATAGTGATTAGGGGTAAAAAGTTAGGTCAGAGACATAACAGGATTATACAGTACATAAGGTCGTATTACTTCAGTCGGTCGATACTCGGCATGCAAGCTGGACAAGTTGCATAACAGTTTGAACACTCAAGATGGAGCCATTGCAGATCTCGTAATACATATTGTGTGTATTTAGTAATACTGTGCAAAGTATTTATTAATACTGTGTAAAGAATTCGAAATTCAAAAACAGCAAGTGTGATAACTGGACATGCGGAAATAAACTAAAGTGTTCGAAATTCAAAATAACGCATAGACAATGTGACGGAAACAAACTGAAGAGTTCCAAATTCAAAACAGCGTATAGACAATAGTGCGACAATTTAACACAGGGGACCAACTGACGAGTTCGAAATTCGAACAACGCGCAGACAATAGTGCGACAAGTCAATACGCAAACAAATAGAAGAGTACGAAATTCAAAACAGCGCATAGACAATAGTGCGACAGGTCAATACGCAAACAAACTGAAGAGTTCGAAATTCAAACAACGCGCAGACAATAGTGCGGCAAGTCAATACGCAAACAAATAGAAGAGTACGAAATTCAAAACAGCACATAGACAATAGTGCGACAATCTGACATACGCAAAGATGGCGAAAGTTTATGTCAGCTGCAATTAAAATGGCGGACTGACGCTTCTCCGCTATTATACTTGTCCCATCAGCTGATACTAAAATGTATGTAAGATATATTAACACTAACCTGGCGTGAAGGCAAATACAAAAGAAAAACGAGATAGAGCTTATAAATTCCTTATCTGTCCGATAGGTCCACAGAGGAAGAAGCTATTCTTGATAATACACAGAAAAATAACAAGGTGGTGGTATTGATCACCTTGAATTTTTTAAGTGGTGAAAACAGGTTATTAAAATAAAATTACTCAAGAATTAATTGGGTCTAAATGAATTAAACAACTCTTCTCATCTATAAGACACAGAAGTTATCAACTAATGGTTTAAATGTTAATACGCTTTGTTACAAGGCCGACAACGCACTCGCGAGCCCCATGGCATTAAGTGTCCATGGTATCAGTTAACATCAGGTGAGCCTCCTGCCCGTTTGCCCTATGGTCTATACAAAAATATCTGTAGCTTCTATGATAATTGTGAAGTGTTCGTAAACGTCAATGTCATACGTCAGTAACCGAGTTTGACAGCTCGAACGCATAGATATTCCACATTGACTACGATTGCCCGTTCAGTTCTTTATACGTGGAGTGCAGCTCAAGTTGGCCATACAGAAAGAAAAGCAAAAATATGCCTACAAAAAATAATAATGTCTATACTGTTGAAAGCTGTAAAAGCTAAAGAAACGAAAAGGTAGGCGAAATTAAAACAAAAATGATGAAATTAAGTTAATTAATTTTAATTCAGTATTTCTCAATGACGTATGCATTCGTGTGTTAGAAATCTTTTGTTTATTTCATACAGAGTAATTAATTCGCTTCCGCTTGCTTTGTTATGTATGGCTCCAAATGATAGTGACGTCATCCTTAATCGATCCCGGGCTTTCCCGTTTAATTCCAGAGTGTAACAGAACTATGACGGCGATTCGAAATTGAGTAGCGTTTGTATGACACAAAACTTCATGATATTCTTTAGAAAGTTTGGTTTGAAAAACGTTTTCCATAATGAAAACTTACCTTTTTGAAATAAAAGTGCGTTCATTAGTTTAAAGTTTTCCGTGTCTGATGGCGATTTTCATGCAGTTGTTATATCAATGATTATAGCGTCTTCAAAAGCCCCGAGGCTGTTTTTCCTTCTCGCAATGATCGTTACAAACATTTTACACAAAGCCTTCAATATACATTGCTATCTGCTTCCGAAGGTTAGCGATCGTCTGATCTGATCAATGACTTGGTGCATTCAAATCATTGTCTAATTTTCTTTAACCGAGGTCGGCCAATGCGGCCAGGTCACCCTCTGCTACTTTGGCTTGAATGTTTAGTTGAAGGAGCTGGTACTTTTTGGTGTTACCTAAGACGTGTCCGAAATATTCAAGTTTCCTTTTCTTCTGCATTCTTCCAGCACGGTATGCAGACCGCATACGAAAGTCCAAGATATTTTAAGCATATTAATAGCGGCACGAAACTCTAGCGCTGACCGTTATTGCGCAGAAGTAAAAAATAAGGTACCTGGGGGGCGCTAGCGGAATGAAGAGCGGGCGTGCGTAGCGTCGATTGGCTCTCCACTCTCCAGTCGCATTCCGTCCCCCGCACCGATACGACGCCCCGCGCACATCCCGTGTACAGTCGCGTCATTAATATTATTGTTACTTTTGTTACGTTTTGTTGTTTTTTGTTACGTTTGAATTTGTTAGTGTTTTGTTGTTTGTTATTAAGTTTGTTTGTGACTTTAAAGTGAATATGCCTAGAACAAATACTGTTTTGAAAAGACAAGCCAGGAAAATGGTTTATGACGTGAATTGTTTTTTAAAAAGGGAATCTAACGAATTAATTGATTCTTTGAAACAAATCCAAAGTGAGATTGACGAAGCTACAAATACTTTATTCAGTCATTCGGACAGCAACATTGTAAATTTGAGCCATATATATTTGAGGCATATAATGTATTGCGTGCGCAGCAATCCCCTCCACGTAACGGCCAGCGCTAGACTTACGTGCCGCTTATAATACTTGGACATAGTCTCTCTTAGCGCCCAAGATTCTAAGCTGTAGAGTAGCACAGAGAAGACGTAAGCGCGTTTTACGTTATAAATTTAGACGGCTGTCACACATAATTTTTTTTTATTAATTTTGTTTTTTAAATAATACCTTTTCTACTCCCCTGTCATTGTGTCCAGGGACTTTTTCTATATCTAAGCTTCACATCACACGTCTCGCGAAATACGCCCCGGCTACATCTGTAATATTCAGGGGCGAGCCGGGACGCAATTCCTCGTGAGACCCGTTCTTGGAGTTTTGTTTGCCGCCTTAATATATTTAACAATTTTATTGCAGAACCGTTCCAGGCACGATCTAACTAACAGTATCTTTGTATCAAAATATCATTTATTCAGTACCGTACAGTATCAGTTGTTCACAATCTGAACTTGGGAACGTAAAAAGTCCTTCGTAATGTTACACTACGAATTCGCAAAGGCCTTAACGAGTAGAACTGGCAGTTAAAAAAAATATTCCAAAATCATTTATTCATTTATGTAACACAATGTACACTTATGAACGTCAATAAAGAAATACATATTTAATGCTAATTTTACATTGCCAGTTCTCAAATCTAGGGAGTAGAACGGATGAGAAGAACTGGCAATAAACTCTCCGCCATTATTTTTAATCGCCAAGTTTTTTTACACAATGTTTGTAAGGAGCTGCTACCATTACACCATGTTCCATATGACTTCTTAAGTAATTAATAATAAAAAAAATTAAAACAAAGATTTGTCCTTTATCAGCAGTAGGCAATACCAGCAGTACTTAAATTCTGTAGATTCCCTGGACAGCTAAGAAAACAAACCATAACTCGGTTACTTAGGGAGCGTTTAAGAATTACGTAACGAATTTTTTGTCTCTTTGTAAAACGTTACGATGCGGGGCGGGGATTGAATTACTCGTTATTTTCTATATTATTTTCGAGACTTTCCAGTACTTTACACCACATAATGGTAACGAAAAGTTTTTGTGTTTTCTATTATTCTTGGTTACAGTACTGTCCTTGGGGGGGGTCTATAATCTCCGGGTCTATAATTGCGTGACGTAATACTTGATAGTTTTAAATGTATGCAGGAAGGGTTTTTGTTTGATACAATGTCATATATTTGTCCCCAATTTGTCCTTGTTTGGACCCTAACGGAAGTTTCAATGAAAACGCTTAACCAAGGACCATTCACACTTGAATGTTTTGCATAACAGTAGGATGATGTTTAAGATGATGACAATGGATACATTGCCAGCTCGCATTAACTATAACTCCTATTTAGGAAATCACAGCGCTAACAAAACAAAGAAAGCCTCACTGAGCAAAATGTACAGCCTTGGCTCGTACTACTCCAAGGAAAATGCAAGATGTAATGGAAATATTGAAGAGATTGAAAATCTGTATACTTGGAATTAATGTGGAATTTTACGTTGCTATGGAAACTTGTGGCCCAGTTTTGTGGTTATAAAAACGATGTTGGTGAACAAAAAAATAATTAGAGTTTATATTATCTATATAGAACGTGAAACATTTTTATTGTATAATTCGTTATAACTAATTTATAACTCCGTTTTATCTATTTTTTTTTTTCTAATTTTTATCGGCTATCATGCAGACATTCATTTAAAATAAATAATCCTTAAATTTCCTACTAAGATAATTATTAATAATTATCATTTAGACAATTCTTTTTAAATTTGGTTTGATTTTAAAGTATTTTTTATTTAAAATACTTAAAATAAATTCTAAAATTGAAAGTGTTTATGAAATAAATATTATAATAATAAATCATTAATTTTCTATTAAGATAAACAATAATTATTCACCATTATGATTTAGACTACATTTTGTAATCATAGTTATACATTTAATAAATACCAAAATATAATACAATAAAACGATTCAAAAGCTCAAAAAATAACATATTACTTTTCCTTAACTGAAAGTTTTTTTTTAAATAAAAGTAATTATTAATAAACCTGAAATTTTGCAAAACAAAAATTATAAAAAATTATGATTCAGACTATATTTTGTAATCATAGTTATACATTTAATAAATACTTAAAAGTGCCCAAAAATCTTTCAAACCCTAAAATATATTTTATTCCGTAAAATGAATAGTGTTTTTGACGTGATTTTCAGAGTGGGTAAACTCAACCTGGTGGACCTGGCTGGTAGCGAGCGTCAACGCAAGACTGGCGCATCAGCTGATCGTCTCCGGGAGGCGGCTAGAATCAACCAAGCCCTATCATCGCTGGGGAATGTCATATCCGCCCTTGCTGAGAACAGCCCGCATGTGCCTTATAGGTAAGCTGTTACGTTAATAAAAAAAACAATATGTTTATTATGGAATATAAGATACAGGTATCCCTTAATCCACTTCATTAAATTTGAATCGGTAGACTCATCGGAAAAGATGACAGAGGGCCGAGAGAAATGGCCGGCGTAAAAAACTCTCGGTACTCTTTTAAAAAGGAAATCATCATACAACACTTTTTTCAAAACAAATATCGCAAATTAATTAGAAGCAGACTGTCTAGCACTAGTCCCACGCCCTTTTATCAACTACATAATCGTAAACTTTATAGTAAGCCTTTTTTACACAGCTTTTCGTTTGCTATTCCTGAAAAACATTTTATATTAACTCGCCAATATTGTGCTAGCTTTATGTATTTTTTTTCAGGGATTCGAAGCTGACTCGAATCCTGCAAGATTCTCTAGGTGGGAATAGTAAGACAATTATGATAGCCAATATTGGTCCAGCATCATACAACTACGACGAGACTGTTACTACGCTAAGATATGCCCATAGAGCTAAAGGTAATATTTCTTTTCAAATTCAAAAAAACAATTCCGGCTCGAAGGACCAAAATGAAAGATTCATGGGTTATCGGGGTGCTTTAAATAATAGACGATTTTATTTTAACTCTATATTGAATTAAATAATATATGAAATGTTAATTGCTATGTAACGAATGAATGCAATGTAACAGTTGAAGATAGTGCCTACGTCTGGCTGTACTCCTATAAAGTTTATTTTGTAATAATGAGCTTGTATTATTGTCATCAAAATTTTAATGTAAATATTTGCAGCAATCAAGAACAAACCAGTCCGCAATGAAGATCCGAAAGATGCGAAACTACGGGAATATCAGGCGGAAATCGAAAGACTGCGGTCTCTCATCGAACAACGAAAAGCGATTGATAAACGGAAAAAACCACCACGAATTCGCACGAAGGCCACACCACAGGACTGTAAGTATTTAAGGAGCTTCTATATAAAAAATGAAATAGGCGGCTTCTACATAATAAAAAAAGGCCCTATCCCAGCACGAATTGCTGTGCCAGTGTCTCGGGGTGGACTGCGGGGCGCAGTGGAGAGCTGGAGCACTGAGGCGCGCCGGCCCGTAATAACAATTAGTTATGTAAAACATTAAATTAATGTAATTTTATCAATTTTTTACTACAATTTATCCCCCCCCCCCCCTTTTGCAAAACGCATTTAGTTTTCAAGCATAGACAATGTATGGGTAATATGTGTAAAAAAGTAAATAATTACTGTTGACGTAATCACCAAATAAGAAAATCAAAGACACCCCCCCCATAGTGCTTACGTAATACTTGAACGGCCCCAGGGACCGATCTGGATATTCATTGAATTGACTGACAAAGGGATATATTTAAGTCAATAGCTAATGAACAATGCTCTGTGCATTGAGCATAGAATGTTATAACTATTGATTGTTGTAATCTGTAGATTTTAGTACCAAAAAGGTTTTAAATAAACTTTATAATTTGTCTATCTTAATAATCATTACTACATCTCTTTTAAAGTAATTTTTAACTTTAAAATTCCAGCTGAGGAAGAAACAGCCAGTCTGAAAAGCGAGCACATTCTAGCAGAATCAACAATAGAACAAGAGAAGACCAAAACGGAAGAACTGGAGCAGCAAATCCAGGCGTTAGAGGACCGATTAGTCCAGGGTGGTGGGGGGAAAGATCTCCTCAACAACTTGAATGAAAGCCAAGTTATCCTCCAACAGAGGCACATGGAGATAACAGAGAGGAAGAAGAGGGAGATAGAGATGCAGCAGAAGATAGATTTGGAAGAAGAGACGACGGCGATAGTTACGAATACGTTCACAACTCTTCAACAGGAGGTCGATCACAAAACCCAAAGGTAAAAAAAATATTAATTTTATATTTCCAATTAAGAGCAGTGTTGGCCTTGTGGCTTCAGGGTGTGACTCTCATCTCTGAGGTCGTAAGTTCGATCCCCGGCTGTGCAGCAATGGACTTTCTTTCTAAGTGCACATTTAATATTCGCTCGAACGGTGAAGGAAATCATCGTGGAAAACCAGCCTTTGACCCAAAAAGTCGACATGTGTCAGGCACAAAAGGCACAGAAGGATCACCCATTTGCCTATTAGATTGACAATCATGTAACAGATACAGAAATCTGAGGCCTAGACCTAAATGGGTTGTAGCGCCACAGATTTTTTAGTTTTTTATTTTCAACGAATGATAATCCTGGTATTTCTGGAGGAATGGAAGTCCTACTCTTTACTCTATGGTTATCAGATTAAAGCGGTGCCTCGCGAAATACGCCTCATTACGCGAAGAAATGGTAGAACAAAGGGAAGCCCACGACTCCGAGAGACGCGAGCAGGAAGCTCTGCAGGCGGCGTTGATAGCGGAGTTGCGGCGTCGGCTTTTATTGGCCGACAGCTTCGTCCCGGACGCGGGCAGACCCACCGTCATGAGGCTTAGATATAATGATGATGCTGATGGCTGGGAGCTGCCTCAGAGGTAATTTTTTTGCTAGTTTTTTTTTTTTTGAAGTGAAACTTCTTTAGGTGCATGAGGGTTTTTACGGAAACGTCACGAAGATGTGCAGCGTTTTTGTCGAAGAAAAGGGAGAGAGCGATTGAGACCGATTGAGAGAGAGTGAGAAGGCGAATTACCTTATAGAAATTCTATTTTTAAAATTAAAATTTCGTAACAAGAATTTATGAAATATTAGTATTTTATATTTAATGCAAAATAATTTATTGAAATCTGAAATAACAAATTGTAAATTAAAATGCCACGTGTTTTTAGTATTGAAGAGATAAATTAAAAACAATAAATTTATAATTTGTATTAATTTTCGACACTTAATATTTTAATGACAATAAATTCATTAAATTCCTAACATATCTTCCTTTTTTCCCTCTAAGTCTCGGAAATCTAAAGTTTTAGATTTGTATAAATATGAACAAGACTTAAAAATTAGTTTGCCAAAGAAGTTTCACTTCTGACATGTGTACTTTGTACGCACTTTTTTTATGCTGACCGTCGTCCATAGACAATCTATATCGCGGGGCGGGTCTTTGAGTCCCATAACATAACATTTAATCCCATTTTCCAGCGGCGCCGAGCCCCTATCAGTCCGTCCAGTAGCGACCCCAGGTGCGAGAAGACCCCACTCAGCGACCGACACCAATACCCCAAGACGTCGTTCTGAGAATTTACTGGACTTACGGCCCATACCCCTGCCATCCACAGTGCGGAACTACCCCCCGCAGAGGCCCCAGACCACCATCACCAAGGTGCCTTTTAATAAGGTACCCATGAATAAGGTACTTTTTTAACCTACTTCAAAAAGATCAGTTTGTGTTTCAGAAAAGAGGTGTCAATATTTTGAGGAGATCTGGGGGCCAAACGTTGGGAATCTCTGGTCTAGATTTTAATTAGTGTTGCTATTATCATTGTTTATTAGCGTCCCAGAAAGCGATCAAAATATTCCGCAACTATTGGAACTGATTTCTTCAAATGGCAACACTTTTTAAGATGTCATTATACTCTGATTTTTAATTCCGTAGAATTCTGAAAGCCATAATTTTTTTGACGTTTCAGAGATTACAAACCCGGCCAGGGCACATTTTTCAATTTCAATACGAGTCAACGTCTGACTCTATACAAAAATTTTGTTTAAAGTAAAAAATTAAACCTGGAATTAGTAGGCAGTGATGCCAACTAAAGAATAAAATAAAACAATTAAAGTTAATTCGACATATTGTTCGTGATATTGAAATATTTGTTATTTTTGTATTAGGTTAAAATGCGTCAAATTTGTCCATTTTTCGGTGGAGAACTTTTTTTAGTAGCAACATGAATGTCATTTTATGAAATGTCAGAATTCTACGGAAATAAAAATCAGAATTAAGTCAATAGTTATTGTCATCTGTCAAAGTGATAATCGAATATAATGAAGTATTTATCGGAGAGTCTGAAGGGATTGACTCTATGAATAATGTGTCAAAATTTTGTGCCATGCCTTAGTTTTTCTGAAGTTCCTATTAATATACATAATTTTTTAATAAATATTTTTTACATAAAGTTACCGGATATCTGGTGTTAATATGACAACATTTTGATATCAAATGATTATCTGTGAATCTGTTCTCTCACTGATCAAAAATCCCTCTAAGTAAAAAATATATTACATTTGCGTTTATTAAGTGTATTAATTATATTATAATTTCAGTCAGTGGAAGTTCCAGTTAAAAAGGAAGTGCCGGAAACACGTCGCGTCAGCGGAAAGCCTAGACCACCATCCGCATTACATAGACTTGGTACCGCTGGTGTGCGGTAGACCCTTTACACATAAGCCTTAACAGACACTAGGCTTATCTGCTTATACGAGATACTTGTATCACTCGTCTCTTTCTCTCAAATGGTGTTTATGCTGTGTTAGAAAGAGACGGTGACTATTCCAATAGAATTTAGCGAAAAGGAGTTAGTATTTTGAGCGGAAGATCGATATTTTCGACAAAAAAAAAGGAAAAATAATTTGAAAAAAATCTGTATATTTAATAATTAATTTACTTTAAATGAATATTAGATAATAGTACCTAAATTACATTATCTATTAATTATGAAGTTATAAATTGCAATCGAATACCGATATTTAAAAATCGGTTATCTAATACAACACTATATAGCCATAGAGTTTCTCTATGGTCATTTTCGTGAACTCGTTTACCGGTTTTTTTGAAATTCGAATTACATAAAATTGTGTGAATGTTTTTTGCATTTCTAGAATCATTGCCTTTTTCTAAATTCTATTGAATAGACCGTATTTTAGTTCGGAATAAGGGAATTATGCAATTGTCAATATTTATATAAAATTATTATTTATCTGTGGTTAATTTAATCTGTTTTAATACAAAAATCTAAACAAATTATGAATTCTGAAACATTTGTTTCCTTAAAATTACAACGCTAAATACATTTGTATGAGAAAACAGTTTTGCATATGTAAAGGACATTAAAATATTGACAATTGCAATTCAATGTTCCAGGTGTTGTCAAAAATGTCAAACTATTTTGGCGGGAAACTATAAGGATGTTCTAAATGTTATAAGCGGTTAATTTAATTCTTAAATAAATTTCTCATATAACAACTTGTGAGCGAAAAATTATTTTTTTATGAGAAATCTATTTTATGTCGACTGTCTGATGATACCGTTCCGATAACATAATGGAAATCAAAACAGGGTTGCCGTTTAGAATAAGTTGAATTGTCTTTTGTGACAATCACAATAATACAGTTAAAACTAAGAGATACAAATTTTGCGAACTATTACTAACCTTTTTCTTGCAGTATTTAAAAAAATCCGATTTATATAAAATAAGAAATAAGTTTCAATCGATAACCGATATTTGGAAATGAGTTTGCTATTATAACACTATGTAGCCATTCTCGATGGTCATTTTCGTGGACTCGTTTATCGGTTTTTTGAAATTCATTCTACAGAAGAGGTATGAATGTTAGAAAAATATTTTTAAAAATTCAGTTCGCAAAATTTTGTAAGGTTTTCTTTAAAACGGAACGGCTCGCATCTCGAAATATCGGTTTTGTGTTTGCCGATTTTATACGATATTGTAACGAATGCTTGGCTTTGAATCACTGCGATGAATATATAGCTCATGAGATGTGTCAAGTTTGACAGTGACAGATGTCATTTATCATCATTCTGGCCACTTGAAGGTACTATAATGTCGACGTTATTTATATTTAACCTTTTTGTTTTGCTATGTTAAAACCATCAGTTCATAGTTTCAAAGCAAAAAAGGTTTTTTTGATATTTGACACTGTTTTAGGCCCGAACTCTAAATAGTGTATAAGAATGACATCGCCACATAGATCTGTCAAACTACTTTTCTCTAGTAATTTGTTCGCAGGCCTTCAAGTCAAACTTGTCACTCGCTTCGCTCAGATATTGATAAAGGGTGAAAGGGGGGGAAATATGACACTTTAGCTGAGAGAAAATATTAAAAAAGATGTTTTGGTCGCTCTCAGCCGCACAAAATTGTCTTTTAATAAAATAATATATTTTAATTTGTGTCATATGCGAACGCATGCGTCGATGTAAATATATATTAATAGTATTTAATAATTTGTCACGAGCCACGTGACGTAACGATCTCACTGAATTTCCAGTATTCATACGCAAAGTTGTTTTTAATTAGATGAATTTTGTTTTTAATCACAATATGGATAAAGGCTCAGACATTTCATACGAATTTTGACGTTTTAGGCTATTCAGAATAAGATTAGGCGTCAAACATCACTCTTGACAGATACGACCTACGTGTGTGAAATCTAACACTTACGGAGTCACTTTTAGCGCTAATTCTCGACTGTGAATTATGCCTGTCACAAACGTTGCGTTGACATTTCATGTACACAGATTATAAAACGTTACATCAATTGTGTGACTGGTTGTGAGAATGACGTTAGCTCACGCTTTGTCACGTGACCGTTAGTGAGTCACACCTGTCGTCAAGTGCTATGTATGAAGCCCTATTTCAAAATAGCCTGACTGTCATTTGTTTTACAGATAACTGAATTTTTATCATTATTTAGGTTTATTTTGTATAATATTTTATCGTTATAGATTTTAGTAAATTTTATTTATTGCTTCGGACTTGGGTTCGCGGCGAGTGATATTAGTTTATTGTAGTGTTGTAATATTTGAAAATTCTCTCTTACGTCACATGACAGCGTAAATCGGAAAATGTAAAAAGATTTCCCATACAACAATATTTGTGTTTTCGGATATTTCCATAAAAGCTCGGAAATTCCATTGTTTAAAATTTAATAATTGTGATACTGTCGTTCAAATGCGTTACCAAAGATGGAAACTGTCCATTCCATGTCCTAATGTCAATATCGGTAAATAGTGATGTTCCTGTAAAATAGTATCGATTTTTCGTTTTGTTAACGTTTCCATATGGTTTCTAGTCAATGATTCTTGTATACAAAGTTAATGTAAATAAATTATTTGGTTATCAAAATAATAGATATAGTATAGGTAGTGGCTTACGTTCGCACAATTTTTGATTACGATAAAAAGCTTATGTTATTGTGTAATTTTTAAATTTACCGCAATGGAGCATTAATTTTATTTTGTTAGCTCCTGTGGCTTGTGCCGTAAGGTGAATTAGTATTAAAAATTTGAGAACCGTTTTTAATTTTATCATTGGAAAATAAATCATGTGATATATATTTGGAAACCGCTAGTCAGATGTGCCGCGTACACGCTTATACTCACTAATAAATATTTTTAATTCCATATGTACTTTTGTTTTATTTAATGGTCAGATAACCTTTACTCCCCAATTAGGGGACTTTCAAGTATTACGAAAAAAAATTACATGCAATTTATCCCCCCTTCCTCTTGTCAGCAAAAGTAAGCAAAGCTCACAAAAAATAGTACATAAACGTATTAATTTTTTGTAGGAATCCTCGAAAATGCATTTCGTATTCAAGCATAGACAATATGTGGGTAATATATGTAAAAAAGTAAAAAAAAGTGCGTGCGTACAAAGTACACATGTCAGAAGTGAAACTTCTTTGTTAATTAATTATTACGAAGGTAATAGCCCCAATAGATGATCATGTACCGGTATATTATCACTCCATGTATTTGTATATCTATATTCACACTGTATACGTGTGATAAATAAAAATAATAAAGATAATATAATTAAATAACAAATCTGCGTTTACTGCACTAGACGTTATGCGACAGAATTGTCATCTAACGTTTAGAACGTTGTATGTAACTAGGACTAAACGCTGCACATCTTCGTGACGCTAATATTATTATTAATTCGATTCATCCGTAAAAATTTTACCCTCATGCGCCTATTAAGAAGTTTCACTTAAATAATTACTGTTGACGTCATCAGCATTAATAAGAAAATCAAAGACCCCCTCCCCATAGTGCTTACGTAATACTTGAACTGCCCCTTAATCATTAATATTCATAAGATTTTTACTGTAAGCATTTTAATTTAGTTACAACGACGACTATAAATTTACGTTGTTACCTTATAATATAAGGTAACAAATCCTACATCTAGTTCCTCTACTATTTCAATCCGCAAAAGATTCAGCATATTTTAAACCAGGAATGGATTAGGGTAGGTTGGACAGTGACATAAGACTTGTAGATGTCATAATAAGATATTTTTCTTTGAAGTACATTAGTAGCACAGCGCAGATAAAAAGATAAATCCATTAGACTTTGTCCATGGATTCCGCAACCCACAAACACTTAATAAATCCTCTTCAGTTTTACTTCATACAATTGAATATTCTGTAATCTTTAGCTGTCTTATACTTCTCTAATAAAATAATTTTCTTACATATTTAATTAAGTAGTTAGTAGTAAGCCAATGTTGCCATCATATACAATTGGCTTATTTGGTTAAGTTTTGTTTATATAAATTTAATTTTAAAAAATTTACATTTGACAGTTTTTTCATAATTAATAAGATTACTTTATGAGCATTTACATTTAAAAATAAATAAAATGTTATTGAAGTTATACTTCTTTAGGCGCGTTATGAAAAATTTATGAGAGTGAAATTTTACGATGCGCGCGCACCTGTGACACAAAATTGGGAGTGTGATTATAGCGTGCGCGAGCGAGATAGGAATAAGACAATCTACAAGTAAAAAGAAATAGAATATGCGTGAAGTTCGTATGCCAAGAATTTTGAATGACCATAATGACATTTGTCATTTACCTTTTAAACAAATAAAGGAGTTTTGATTAATTTTTCAAAGAAATTTATTAATTTTATATTGTGCAATACTGCCAAAGCTACAACATACTTCTTAGTGTTTGGTAGAGATGTTCTAAATATATAATTATATATACTTTTAACTAAATAGAATTTATGTTACACTTAATGTAAGAGAATAATAATAAATAATTACATATTTATTTAATTTTTCAAATGTAAACTGAACTTAATTGACTATAATGACTCCTTTTCCAGTCTTTGATTATTTAATTGTAATTAATTATTTGCATGCAATCAAAAACTATTTTTATTAATGCCAAAGAAGTATAACTTCTTACGCGCGTACATAAGTACACGCACCCTTTTTTTGTAGAATTACCAATTAGAACCTGAAAACTCTTTTGACGTGACAACGTCTAATAAATCGATGAACGCCGGCTGCAAGCACGATAAAGCATGACTCATTGGCCCGTTACGCTCATTGTACGCTTGCGCTGCATCTATCTCTCTTCCACTCGATTGGCCTATGCGTCCGAGGATTCACTCCATTGTATCCATACAAAATAGTTATTCAATTAAAATGGTTCAATATAATTCATAAAAGTATTTCTTATAATATTTACTTAGACAGGAAGTTTGTTAATATGTCAATAATATTTCTTCTCACATTGACGGATACGATGGCTACATTCATAGCTGCCAACGGCCATAACCATAATTGGATATATACTATAGAGGAATGATTAGGTTTGTAGAGTCTGGCTAATGAAAGAAGATAACGAAATAGCGCGGGAAATTAAAAAAAAATCAGTATGGTATCTCTAAAAGTTTGATATATTTAGTGGATTAAACTTACTTTTTGATACTTGATTTTATTTTATTATTTTTTACATTGATCGTAATTGTATTTCTATGAAATAAAATACTATACGTATTTAGTCTTTTACTATTGATACTTAAAATGACTAGCATTGCATGGAAAACTAAAACTATATTTACTATAAAACTCAACATTATTCAGAATAATCAAAATCAATAAAACAAAGTTTAGGCTATTAAACCTATTAACTATTTGGAAAAAATATATAATAGAAATAAAAATGAGTAATTGCATGAAGTATCAAGACAATAAATCATACTAACCTAAGAAATTCAATGACATTCTGTGTTGCCATCCGAAAGTTTTCAAATAATTCAATTATCTTCTTTCATTAGCCAGACTATATAAACATAATATTCTCTTTCAATATAATGGCAAAATATTCTAATGTTTCTAAACTCTTAGAACCATTTCATTATAAAATGACGGTGAAGTTTTGGTGAAATTCTTAAATTCGGGCGTAACTTCCTGTTTCAAACAAATATTTGTCGTAGACGTAGGTACTATATGCTTGAATTTAATACTTTGTCGATTCCATGATGAGGCAACTAATTTGTGTGAAAACAAAGATAGGGAAACTCGATCTACTCTAAAATAAAATAATTTTATAACTACTACAGTCGTTAACAAGAGCGCTTATTTCCTTCTTCGTAACTTACCTTATTCAATATTAATAATAATTAAATACACAACAAGGAATTACTTACACGCCTTAAAATATTTAATTTTACTTTAATTGTTGAGGCAGTAAAGTCCTAAACTTCCTAAATTATACCCATTATTATTAGTATGCGTTTCAATCGTATTCCGTAAAACCGGTAAAATACCAAAGAGTGAAGAAGTAACAATATTTATAATTGAAAAACGCCATGAAACTTAATAAATTTATTTTAGCCTATAAATGATGAATTTTAACAATATAATTCATTTCGTAATAATTGCTGACATTATTGTGTATACAGATATAAAAAATATCGGTTTTTCAAACTTATTCCCGACTTATAAAGCCGATTTATAGCCATCACTAGTTTTGACCGTTGGCCGTTGATTCAGTTTGAAAATTGGGGGGCCTTGTTTCGGTTACAAAATGCGGGAAATTAATTAAAAAGGTACAAATTATATAATAATGGCCGATAAGCTTAGAGATTATCAAGTTCTTGACGTGTTTTGCGGTGGTACGTTCTACAAAGTGAAGCACAAGGTCACTAACAACATATTTGCTTGGAAGGCATACAATTGCTCTGCATATTCCAGTGAACAAATACAAAACGTAGTTGGTGAAGTGAAATCCATTGGTAAATTGTTATCAGGCAGCTTACTACGTTACTACGACACAATTCTCCACGGCCCAACAAAGACATTGTACTTTGTTCTCGAATACAACCCTTGGCAGACGTTACAAGAATTAATCGATGTCTCAAGGGAGGAAGGGAAGTATTTTTCAGAAGATTTTATATGGCATACGTTATTGGAAGTTGTAAGGGCTTGCAAAGAACTGAAAAATTTAGAATTTGTGACGTTACAAAAATGCATTACACCAGCATCGATTTTCGTGAGCCCTAACTGCGAACTGCGTATAAATAGCTTTGATTTAGATCCACCAAAATTCATCGCTCAAGATGTTATGCAGCAAGTTGGATATTTAATCAAGTCTCTGTGCTGTGGATCCGAAAAAATACCACGCGAACAAGAATTCATGGTACAATACAGTGACGACCTTAAGGATGTCATTAACTTCATAATCGAGGACAGAAATACCATATTACGTCCAGATGTAGTCCTGTATCACCCTACAGTCCTCACAAACACAGATTCTTTAAAAATTCCTAAACATATATCTGAGATTCTTTTAAAGTTCAACTATACAAATTCTGAAGTCAATAAATGTGATTCAGAGAAAGCTGTGGATATGTGTAAGAAAATTAAACCTCTGCCAAGAACTCATCTGTTAGATGACAGCCCCATTTACTGCAACATAGTGTCTCGGAGGCAGAAGCAAAATAATACACCACACACCAACTTCAATAGCGAATGTCTATCTCCAACAGTAGCTGCATTAGCTTTAGAGCTGCCTGGCTATGTTCCTAGAAGCAGAAAACCTTACAGTGAACCTGTTACCTTTACTGATGATGCCCAAAAAGTTTCTCAAGAAACTCTTAGCCATCAGTGGATGTCTCGCTTAGTAGCGTTGAGGCAGAGAGAAGAATCATTAAATCTAAGGGAGAGAGATCTACTAGCTAAGGAAATCAAGAACAGCCCTAGTACTAAACTAGTATGTATTAGTAAGACACCTGTGAAAGACAGTAATGGCATTACTTTGCCCCCTGAAATCAATCACATTGATGAGAAAAAACAATGGATGTCACGACGTCCCCGTCGGCGTAGTGGCTCTGTACGTTCTCGTGGACGAAGGAAAAGTTATGCCTATGAAGACCTAGACAGCTCACTATCAGCGGACAATGGAGACAGCAGCATGATTATCACAGCAGCCAAGATAACTAAGGAAAACATGCCTCGAAACCTATTCCCTGATTTATCTACAAAGAAAGTTCACTTCACACCAAACAATCCCTTTGTTGACAGTGATGAGAGTGTTACATTAACTTTTTATGAACTAGATAATATAGATAAGGAAGGATATCAAGTGCCGAGGCAGGACATCAATAAGTTTAAGTATCTAAATGTAGATGCATCTGAGAAAAGAGGTAGCGATTGGTGCCACTCGTCTCCCAATAAACAAGCAAAAATAAGTGATATTTTCTCTGATGTAACAAATAAGAGTAATCTAAGGAAGACTCCATCCAAAACTAGTATAACATCTAAGTCTTCAAATATATCAAGATGCTCAATCATATCAAGCAAAAGCCAATGGAGTACAGAGGTTGGAGAAAGCACTTTTGAAAGGACAAGGTCTATCCGTCAACCAGAATCCCTTCCAACCCCAGCAGTTAAAAAAACTAAACGTAAGTCTCTTCTACCATTTAAAACTCCATTTAAATTTATGTCGTCATCAACGAAAATTTAGATCTCCTAGATCAATATTAATTAAGAAATTATTAATTTTAATGGTTGTGGTATAAAGCAGCTAAATGCTTCCTTAGTTATAAGTTCTTATTGTAAATTCGATAACGGACATAACCCACCTTAATAAGTTAAGAAATTTAATGAAAATTATATTTTGTGTATTTGAATTATAAAATGTACTAGAATTAGTTTGAATAAATTGTATTTTTTTTATAAAATTATAGATATAATTTCTATGTGCTATGTAAATGAGATTATTATGAATAACATTATATTAATTTTGTCTTCCATAGAATAGATTTATTAAATAAGGCTTTACAAAATTTGCCATAATTAGTTTTTAATTTAAATTGTGTATTTTAGAAATAAATAAATTTTATGAAAATCAACATTTTATTTTCATCTTATATAATTATTGTTTATTATAATATATAATAATTATTTCTTCTTATTAAGAGCTTTATCTGCGCCATCCAGATATTTCTTGGGAAGACCATATTTTTCAATAAGAAGCTTTGCCATGAAGTGTGTCTGAAAAGAAACAAATCATTTTTAATAAAATGAAAATATATTACTGTAACTTAAACAAATAAATTCTTACAAAGCAATGGTGTGTAATTATTTAAGATCCCAAAAGTCAATAAAGAGGTTAATATTACAAATATTCAAATGAGTTTAAGTTTAATTTTAAATAAGGTCTACTAAAAATTACAAAAACTGGTTTTTATTCCGATATTCAAATAGAAGAATGGTTACTATAATAGAAATTAAATAAGCAATTTAAAAAAAATATAGGTTTAGTTTAAAAATCTAGTGATTTTTATTTTTTTGTAATAGTTTCAAATAGATGATTTTAACGAAATTGTCATATATTTTAGCTCTATAAATGAGCTTCAGTTTACACATCATAGTATATATTCCATTTTATGTTATTGATTGTGGAAAATTCTTTAATTATGAGGGCAATAAATAAATAATACATACATCTAAATGATAATGGTTTGAGTTACGATTCTACTGTATTAAAAATCAAAATTCACAAATAACTATTCACTAATAATTAAAAAATTTTTATGAATTTCATATAGACAAGATAAAACTAAGATATAGAATTTATTTTTGTAATATTCATGTTTACACAAACTCATAATTTAATAAAAAGGTTGTAACACATCATAGATTGATTTTAGATATGCTAAACTGTAAAAATAAATAGCTGGTGATTATTGAATTAAAAAATTTACAATACTATTCTCAAATTTAATTATTATGTATAGAAAGATATAGTATTATGTATACATACAATTGATTTTTAGAATAAAATGTATTATTCTTAAAATCGAAGTCCTCTAGACTTGCAAACATTTAATTGTTTCTTGAAGTTCAATAGGAAATTATAATCAAAATGCTGCCTAAGCTCTGAAATTATATATCGTATACATTTACATAATTATATTAAATATATAAATAAACTTGTGTGTACACGCGTTAGAAGTTATACTTCTTTAGCGTAGTAATTTTCTTCGAGCACTTTAGGGACGTTTCCCTTTTTAAAGAAGTATAACTTCAATAATTTCTGCAGATAATAGTTTAATGTTTATTAATACAAGTTAAACTGTTACAATAATTAAATTGAAATCTCACCTGATCTCCCTGCAACATTAGCTGATCGTGGCTGGCTCCAGCTGACCGAGTGACTCCGCAAGAGGCCGCCACTGCGCGTTGGCACTCTTGCGCAAGAGTCGGTAAAACGAATCCGAACGCTTCTAGATTGGACACTAGTGTCACCTGGTGGATGAAAATTGCGATACTTTTATTTTACAATTATTTGTAAACAATCCTACGGGACGCCCAAAAAGGGCAGTTGTCGCAGCCCACGGACAATCATTTTTAGTGGGTGCGTTGCCGGGTTTTGAGTATGACCAATTACCATATGTCTAAAATATAAATGTATGTTTATCAACAATTTCCTCGGTAACTAAAATTTACCTAGGTGAATTCCAACTTTAGGGAACGTTCAAGTATTACGTAACGAATTTGGGGGGGTCCTTTTGTAAAACGTTTATATTATTTTCGACTTTCCAGTACTTTACACCACATAATGGTAACTTTTATGAATAAAGAATCACTAGGTGGTACAGAAAAACGTTACGGCGCGTTACACGGGGGGGAGGGGGTCAATAATCTCTAAAAATTACGTGACGTAATATTTGAACGCTTCCTTAGGAGATAGTTCACGTTTCATCAAAATATGTTCGGTAGTTTTGGTATCCAATCCAATATGTATGTGTGAATAGGTGTAAGTAGTTTAAGATATTGTTTTATAACAAACAATAAATCAGATATGAGTATTGCTCTGTGTTCCTTCGCTTTCTCTCTAAGAGGAGAGTGAAGATTGTGGTGATGCCCAATAGCTTTGAGATAATCGCACCATCTTGAACCTCTGATCCTACTAGGGCTCCGTCTGTTACCTTAGGTCTCTTAATGCAGACATCCCGTACTTTTTACCACTATGTGTAACATTTTTAGCGCTTTGGCATCCGTAGGGTTGTTAGGTTCTTACATCTCACCCTCTCAAATATTTATCTATCTAGTGCAGCTTGCTAATACTAATACATATTCTATACAGATACTCCTGACATTTATTACATATAAACTTAAATAAACATTTCACAGTCCACATCCAGCTGATGACCGAATTACAAATCATATAATACTTATACAAAACAAAATTTTATATGCAATATCCCGATTAACATATAAATAAAAAAAAACTCAGATTTCTGTATCTGTTTCATGATCTGTCAATCAAATAGGCAAGTAGTCGGCCTCCTGTGCCTGACACACGACCTCGATTTTTCGGTCTAAGGCAAGTACTTCACCGTTTGAGTGACTGATAAATGCGCACATAGACAGAAAGTCCATTGGTGTACAGCCGGAGATTGATACATTACCTTTTTATTCCCACTCCTGGTGAAAACCTGCATTTGTATTGGATCAATCCTCGTCTTAATAAGTCTTGATGTACCGTCAGCAAATACTAGTTCTGTGCTCGCTGTCATATGAGACAGAAGACCAGCCATGAGCTCATCCCATTTCGTAAGAGCCTGTCGAAGAATATGATTTTGATGTATCTTTGTGTGTAACAAAAGAGTTAAAGTGGAAATGGGCCAGTCACATTGCCATTGTGATGGCAGATGGATCAAGAAGACCCTTACTTGGAATGGCCCAGTGGGAAGAAGAGAGGACGTCCAGAAACTTGGGCAGATGGAATAAAAGGGATAGCGGGGCAAAATTGGAAAAATGTCGCGGGGAATAGAGATCTTTGATTTTCTTATTTGGTGATTACGTCAACAGTGAATGAAGGAATGAATGATGATTGATGGATGAATGAATGAATGATGAATGAATGAATGAACGTCCCCAGTCTAAAAATTGATTTCAAAATGTGAAGTGTTTATTAAATCTGATAATTCCTTCGTCGCTACTTATGGATATCCAAACCAATTTATAGGTTATAAATACATGTAATACACAATAAATTTATGGATTTAAATTATTGACTAACATGCCAAATTAAAATACTAAAAAACTAAAATCTATTGGGTCTTAATAATGCTATTGTTTCAACAAAGTACTTCATTTAAATTAAAATTGATACTATTTTTAATCAAACATAAATAATATTATTGATTTCTTATTTAATCAGTGTTCTGTTCTATTTTTCGTTTCAAAAAGACAAACCCAATCTCTATTGAGTTTTAAAATTGATATTGTTTAAAAGGTGGGAGCTTGTAGTTTATTGTTTATCAGACCAAACAAAACTACTGTTGAACTATTTTAAATACCTTTTAAAGTCGAGTAAACTGTCAAAAATCAGATGTCAAAGTGACATACCTGTTCCTTAATCCCAGTAGCTTTAGCGAGAGTCGCATCAATTTTGACAGAGCCGCGACCTGCATCCAGCTGTTTGCTTTTCACGTAATCGCGTACAGTTCTACGCACTTCGTTCGCTGGTAGGGGTGTGCCCTTTCTAAAAATATTATAATATACTGTCATATTTTTAACAATTTTTAATTAGAATACGAAAAAAGCAAAATTTAATTTAATAAAAATATGTTTTTAAAATAATTAGTGATATTTTTTAAATAAATATAAACAATTTATTACATCAATAAATATTAACAAAAATTGAGTAAATAATAAATAAATATAACTAATTATTAATAAAAATATTTTAGCGTTAATTTTAAAATAGGGAGCGTTCAAGTATTATGTAACGCAATTTTTGGAGATTATTGAACCCCCCCCCCCATGTAACGCGCCGTAACGTTTTTCAGTACCCTAGTACAGTACTGTTCTCAATTATAGTAAAACGTTTCGTGACCACCTATTGACTCTTTAGTTACTATTATGTGGTGTAAGTCGAAAAAAATATTAACAACAACGCGTAATTCAATCCCCGCCCCGCATCGTAACGTTTTTCAAAAGGACCCCCCCCCAAAATAACGTTACGTTATACGTTACGTAATACTTGAATGCTCCCATACTTGGTTCAAAGTATTTTTTTAAATAAATTACTTTAGCGTAAAATTAAGGTATTTCTTTAATTAATACTTTATATTTAATTAAAAAACTTACTTGAGTGGCAAAAACAATTCCAATACGTGTGCAGTAATACAATACAATTCTCGCACTACCGGTGGCTGATACTCGAGTACGGGCGCAGACACTGTAGGCTTCACCGCGGTGTGTGAACGCACTGCCGGGTGCAACATTTGCACTGACACCAGTGCGTCAACACCTTTTTCTATCTCCTTCACTTCTACTAGACCTTCCTGCAGATAAACTTTTATTATTAATGTGTTGGCGTCTTAGATTCGATCCCCGGCTGTGCACCAATGGATTTTCTTTCTATGTTCGAACGGTGAAGGAAAATATCGTGAGGAAACCGACATGTCTTAGACCCAAAAAGTCGACGGCGTGTGTCAGGCACTGGAGGCTGATCACCTAATTGCCTATTAGATTTAAAAATGATCATGAAACCTATAGAGGTCAGAGGCACCAGTGATTTATTTTAGTTTTTTATTAATGTGTTTAGAGCAGTATTGGCTTAGTAATTATAACGTGCGACTTTCATCCCTAGAGTCGTGGGTTCGAACCCCGGCTGTACACCACTAGAATGTATATCCACATTTACCACTCATGTGGTGAAGGACTTATGCCTTAGACTCAAAAAGTCGGCATATGTCAGACACAGAAAACTCATCAACTTTTAGTCTATAAAGCTGTCTACACACCGAAGCCGCCGGCCCGCCGGCCTTGGTTTTAACGATGTTGCCGGCGGCTTGCGCCCGCGCGATCTACCCCGCGGCACGCCCCTCCGCTCTTCACCACCGGTTGCCCACCGGCTTTTAAGAAATAGTGACGTGTCGGTGTTTTTTATCGACCTAACATTATGGAATCCGTTAATGAAGTGGAGAGAAACATTAAAAAGTCACTAGCAAGCACTTGGCAAGCACTAATTGTGAACATTGCATGCCGCGACTGTATGTCGTGCCGCCGGGAAAATTGTCAGGCTCGCAACTTCCAAAGCCGCCGATCACCCGCCGGTACTAACCCGCCGGGTTCGTGCCGGCGGGCCGGCGGCTTCGGTGTGTAGACAGCTTTAGAAAAAAACAAAAGATCACGGGAACTGATACATAAATCTGAGGCCTAGACCTAAAAGGTTTTAGCACCACTAGTATGTATACAAATTTTCTTCTCTCTCTATCTTTCGAAAAATATAGTATCTTTTTATGTTACTCTGTCCATTAGGATTCAAGAGTTACAATCATTTTAAAATTGTAAATAAACTGTTTAAATCCTATATATTTGCACTTATATATACATACATATATATATATATATCACTATGTGGTTTCAGCTGCCCACTGAAGTATTTCCGAACCAATTCGACTTAGGGTCCTTTAAGAAAAGATCGTTAGCTTAAAAGGCCGGCAACACACTCACGAGCTCTCTGCATTGAGATTCCATGGGCGGCGGTCACTTAACATCAAATCAGCCTTCTGCCCGATTGCCAACTGTTCGATAAAAATATGTTTACGATATAATATGACGGTTTTACATAAAAATAAAACCGATATTATGTGCCGAGAAGGAAAACATACAGCATTGTATAATGAAGAAGCAATGTATACTTAGCCATGAAGTGCGATACATACCGAGTGAAATAGTTCCGCTTAGATAGAAAAGATGGCGCTGTAATCGCCTCAACTTCATACTTATCTTTACCAGCTAGGACGTAGTAATTTCCACAGTCATAGAGTCTTCACCAGGAAGAGCTTCCTACAATGCTGTATGTTTTCCTTCTCGGCACATAATATCGGTTTTATTTTTATGTAAAACCGTCATATTGATGTGCCTCCGGAAAACATACAGCATTGTATAATGAAGAAGCAATGTATACTTAGCCATGAAGTGCGATACATACCGAGTGAAGTTCCGCTTAGATAGAATAGATGGCGCTGTAATCGCCTCAACTTCATACTTATCTTTACCAGCTAGGACGTAGTAATTTCCACAGTCATAGAGTCTTCACCAGGAAGAGCTTCCTACAATGCTGTATGTTTTCCTTCTCGGCACATAATATCGGTTTTATTTTTATGTAAAACCGTCATATTGATGTGCCTCCGGAAAACATACAGCATTGTATAATGAAGACGTGTTTGTTATCTGCTGGTGGATGTATAAAGTACAGTATAAAACACAACGCTATGATGATTATGAAGAGTGAAAGTCAGGCTTTAGCTAAAGACGTTATTGTTTATATAACTATTTTATTTACTTGCCAATATTCTTAATCAAAGCATAAGTACAATTATTATATATTCTTGGTTACGGTATAAATATAACTTTTTTTTATTGAGATTTACAATTAACATTATAATATAAACTTCCTATAATCACAACAAGGTATTTCTATAATTACGTTGGTGCAAATGTATTAAAGAAAGAGCTGCATTTTTCTTTACGAGAGTCTATCTCGCGGCAGTAATGATTAAAAAATGTATTTGAAGATTTCCAATTACCCCGTGCTAAAATATCATCTATTGGTTGATTTTCGACCCAACCCAAAGAAGCTACTGCTGCCCTACAACTCCCTGGAGATGCATAGATTCCACTATCTTTGAGAACCGTGCGCACCCAATTTCCGATTATGGTTCGCGAAGCAGCTTTTATTTTGTTGTTAATGGATATAAAAATATTGTTTAAATTTTTTACTTGAGATCTTCTTGTATTACTCATAGCTATTTGGAGTCTAACTAAAGTGACAGGGCATATGTTTTTATCGTGGTGTTTAGAAAGCTTCCATGTTGACTGGCGTCTTGAGTGTGTGTCTGTCTTAGATCCGAATGTCGGTGTTAAATAAATGTTATCACCATCATCCACGAAATGCTCGTCAGTAATTTTTAATAAAGTTAAATCGTGAACCCTACGGCCCGATGCTAAAAGCAATACAGTGGCTGTTCTGCGAGCCGTATCGAATAAAGTGTCCTTAGGAGGGTTGGAAGAAAGCCAGTCTAGTACTATACGCGGGTCCCACGTGACGGATGATTTCACGACTTTTGGTTTAGCTACTCCTATTGCCCTGAGGGTGTGTTTAATAATAAAATTTGAAAATGTTTGTTGTTCTACATGGGGACCGCAAAAAGTTAAAATTGCCGATTTGTGAACAAGGATAGTTGAATAGGATAAATTTTCTTTTAGAAAAAGAGACATTAAAAATTTTGCAATATCGGCTGGTTGAGGGGATTTTTGGTTCACTTGAGAGTTGTCACACCATGAGAACCATCTTTTGATTGCGGGTAAATAGGTGGACAAGGTGGAGTGACGCCAACTCTTCAAAAGTAGATCTTTTTCCTGTTTGGACCAGTCTTTTATTTGGGCACCCCACCCCCAATTTTCCAAACTTTTAGGGTCAATGCTTGTATTTGTGGAGGAGGCAGTGCAGTTTTCATATCTATGAGTGTCTCCGATAGGTGTTGAATTTCGTGGGGGTGATCTAGAGATCTGGATTTCAGGTCCTGAAGCCAGAAACCTCGCGGCCAATCTGGAGCAACTATCAGATAGGTTCCCGTGGCCCGGTTCAGGTGTGCTAAAACTCTGGGTAACAGACTTGGAGGGGGAACACCCATGCTAGACGATAATGCCATGTTCTGCTGAAGGCATCTATGTAATTTGCGGATCGATCTCTGCAATTTATTGATACGTAGTTTCTTACTACTGCAGTCTCCTTTGTTGCAAATAGGTCTATCTCCGGATGTCCCCACTTCCGAAAGATCTCGGCTGTTGCTTGAGGAAGAAGGTGCCATTCTGCAGGCTTTTTTCCCCTTGATAATCTGTCTGCTATGATGTTGTATCTCCCTGGTAGGTAATGTGCCGACAGAGTTATGTTGAATTTGTCCGTCAGGTGCAATAATTTGAAGGTTAGTGTGAGTAACCCTATCGATTTCGTTCCACCTTCTTTTTGAATGTATGCAATCAGAGTTCGGTTGTCCGATTGTATTAATACGTGTGTGTTTTGTAATATTTTTACATTTATTTTTATTGCGGCTATCACTGCATATAGTTCCTTTTTGTTGCAGTGCCACCTTTTCTGTTGGTATGACCATTTTCCTGACATAAGGTTCCCGTCTAGATGTGCCCCCCAACCCCAATCCGAAGCGTCCGTCGCTAGGAAGTGGGTTGCAGGTTCTTTGTGTATAGGTGTCGTCTGATGAGTAGCTCCGAGCCACCACATCAGTTCCTGCACTACAATCTGAGGCAGCAGTTGACATCGACGAGGTCGCATCTTGTTGAAGTGTCGCAGAAAAATCTGTACCTGGCGACAATGAAGCCTCCCGCGGGGCACGACAAAGTTTGCGAAGTTTAGTTGCCCTAGCAGACTTTGTAACTCGCGGAGGTTGATGCGATTTTTTGACAGCGTCCGTTCTACTGTATGGTTTATGCGCTGTATTTTTACCTTGGGTAGCGACATCACATTGTCCGTTGTATTCCAGCGAATTCCAAGGTATTCTAAATTTTGGGTTGGTACCAATACTGATTTTTGGTAATTGATTTTCCAACCCAGGTGTTCCAAGTGTCTCACGGCCTCCGAGGCCTGAGCACTTAACTTGGAGTGGTCTTGGTTGACCAGAAGGTAGTCGTCTAAGAAGACTAGCACTCGACATCCCTTCGCACGTAAGGTCTCCGCGACCCAACATGATACTGCAGAGAAAAGGTGTGGTGCTGACGCTAGCCCAAAAGGAAGGCATGTCATTTCGTATAACTGCCCTTTGTAGCTGATCCTTAAGAATGGTCGGTGCGATCTCGCTGCCGGTAGATGGAAATAGGCTTGTGATAAATCTATTTTTATCATCCAGTCCCCTGGTTGAAGAAAGTCTGGGACTGAGCCGTGGGAGATCAAACGAAAATGTTTTGTCTTCACGAATTGGTTTAGTTCTCGCAAATCTACAATCGGACGCATCGAGCCGTCGCTTTTCTTCCGAAGAAACATTTTGGATATAAAACTGGAAGTTTTGTTGAGAACTGTTTGTAGGATACCTTGATTCAAGAGTTCTTTGATTACCTGGGATGTCGCAGGTGACGGTTCGGTTGCGTATTGACTTATGATTCGATTTGTTGGCATTAACAAAGGAGGTTTCTTGTACAGAGGTATGCGGAATCCTGTAATTGCGGATATTATAAATTTGTTGGCACCCAGTGCCTGCCAACGTTTTTTGAAAAATGTTAAGCAACCTCCCTTGAATTGTGTTGGATAGTAATTTTTTTCCGTCTTTGTTAGAAAGCGGGTAGTTCTTAAGTTGTTTATGACTATCGATTTTTCTGTTAAATGTTCTTTGTATCTAGGTTTAAAAGCTCTCTTACTCTTGAAGGTTGCGGCGGGGATAGCCAGAATCGCGGCCCACCGAGGGATTGTAGTGAGGGACGCGAGCTTATTTTTTTCAAACAAAAATTCCTCGCTAGGAGGTATGTTACTAAGCGCAGTTTGAATACCTGTGTCCGAAATCTCACTTATTAATCTTTTACGCCTAGTTTCTATACATTCCGCTCGTTTTCCGCATACAATTTGCAGGGTTTGTTCATGCAATTTGAGAGAAGGTGATTCACTACCAAAAATATCGGAAATTTTTGTGAAAAGATTATCGGGTTTTAATTCCGTTGGGTTATTATGAGCCCAGTCTATGATTTTTTGTAATCCAGATTGTAGTAATTCCCTTTGACATATGATCGCGTGGGTAGTCGCAGCCATAATTTCCTCTGTTGAGGCCAAGAAATCTTTCCCTTTGCTTAGACAACATATTTCATCGTTAATTTTCAGGTTACAAAAGCCTGGAGACGCCAGCATATCTACCAGGGCTTTTTTGTATCTAATATGTTGCCACGTGGGAGTATTGAAATTTTGGAGTTTTATGAGCTGACGTAATCGTTTTTCATCGGCCGTTTTAATTATTTTTTTATCATCAATATTTGTGCTACCTACCCCCAAGTCCAGAGATTTCGAATTTTCGGTCGACGGATTAATTAAAAAATCGCTATCGTAGTTGGTAGGTTGGTGGGTACCTTCGTCATTGGACGCACTGGCATTGGGTACATATTGTTGATGCATTATAAAATTTGTGAGGAAACTCACCTGATTATATAACGCGTCGATCCGGGGATCGACCGTTACCTGTGGTACTCGTTTCCTTTTCTTTCGTGGTGGTTCCTCGCGCTCCGAGTCGCTATCAGACGCGCTGCTGGTGCACGTGGAGTCCTCTTTGTCTTGTTTTTTGACCTTGCTCGACACTTTTTAGACTACCTGCCTGATCGGCCCCGGCGGCGGCCTCATCGGCATCGTGAGTCGGCGCGGATTCCATAACGCACGTGTGATGTATATATAATGCGGTTTGCTAGTAATTTATTAACATTTAGAAAATCTATAAGGTTTTAAGATGACTATGCACCGATTTACTGTTAATATTGAGTCGATTCGGTTTTGACCGCACGCGGCGAAAGTACACAACGCTATGACTGTGGAAATTACTACGTCCTAGCTGGTAAAGATAAGTATGAAGTTGAGGCGATTACAGCGCCATCTTTTCTATCTAAGCGGAACTATTTCACTCGGTATGTATCGCACTTCATGGCTAAGTATACATTGCTTCTTCATTATACAATGCTGTATAGTTTTCCGGAGGCACATCAATATGACGGTTTTACATAAAAATAAAACCGATATTATGTGCCGAGAAGGAAAAACATACAGCATTGTAGGAAGCTCTTCCTGGTGAAGACTCTATGACTGTGGAAATTACTACGTCCTAGCTGGTAAAGATAAGTATGAAGTTGAGGCGATTACAGCGCCATCTATTCTATCTAAGCGGAACTTCACTCGGTATGTATCGCACTTCATGGCTAAGTATACATTGCTTCTTCATTATACAATGCTGTATGTTTTCCGGAGGCACATCAATATGACGGTTTTACATAAAAATAAAACCGATATTATGTGCCGAGAAGGAAAACATACAGCATTGTAGGAAGCTCTTCCTGGTGAAGACTCTATGACTGTGGAAATTACTACGTCCTAGCTGGTAAAGATAAGTATGAAGTTGAGGCGATTACAGCGCCATCTATTCTATCTAAGCGGAACTTCACTCGGTATGTATCGCACTTCATGGCTAAGTATACATTGCTTCTTCATTATACAATGCTGTATGTTTTCCGGAGGCACATCAATATGACGGTTTTACATAAAAATAAAACCGATATTATGTGCCGAGAAGGAAAAACATACAGCATTGTAGGAAGCTCTTCCTGGTGAAGACTCTATGACTGTGGAAATTACTACGTCCTAGCTGGTAAAGATAAGTATGAAGTTGAGGCGATTACAGCGCCATCTATTCTATCTAAGCGGAACTTCACTCGGTATGTATCGCACTTCATGGCTAAGTATACATTGCTTCTTCATTATACAATGCTGTATGTTTTCCGGAGGCACATCAATATGACGGTTTTACATAAAAATAAAACCGATATTATGTGCCGAGAAGGAAAAACATACAGCATTGTAGGAAGCTCTTCCTGGTGAAGACTCTATGACTGTGGAAATTACTACGTCCTAGCTGGTAAAGATAAGTATGAAGTTGAGGCGATTACAGCGCCATCTTTTCTATCTAAGCGGAACTATTTCACTCGGTATGTATCGCACTTCATGGCTAAGTATACATTGCTTCTTCATTATACAATGCTGTATGTTTTCCGGAGGCACATCAATATATAATTAATATATCTATATATTATTATTACCCTTTGCATTGCCTCCAGAAATTTGCCCATTTTCTTAAAAAGAGGATTTCTTTACATCTATGGTACGGTCTGGAGGGCACAGCGACATCAGATAATTCCTGAAATTTGACAATAATCATCTATACTCTATGGCGCATAATTTAATCATTAAAACAATACTTCAGGGGCCTCATAGCCTAGCGGTCTTATTAAGTGGCAACTAGGTGAGGGGTACCGGGTTCGATTCCCGGTTCGAGGGCAAGTTTTAATTTAATTTAAATTTGTTCTCGGCCTTTGGGAGGGTTGTGCGGTTCCGGGCGAGTGCTTAAACTGTACATGGAGGACACGGTCGAATTTGTAAAGACAAGCACGAATTATAAAAAATCCTATACTTGACGCTGGCTAATGCACAAATCGTGCCAGAGCCATTAAAAAAAAGGTCGTGTACTTATGTACGCGTAAGAAGTTATACTTCTTTGGCAATATTAAAAATAGTTTGGCTTTGTTCCACCTCCAGTTTTTGATGTTTCACAGCGATAAGATGAAAACTCTTTTTTGTATTCAATTTAGTGCACTTACACTGATTCATCAATTGTTTTTTGTCTCTTGTCTTTATATTTGCTAGATTAAATCAGAAAAATTACATGTTTTGATTAAACAATGTGGTCATTTTTTTAATCAAAACATTACTCGATAATAAAAATACATATGGATAGTTAACCTCAATTGTATTGAAGCACTTAGAAGGTTGATAGCCAGTTTTTCACAAATATTAATTAGTATTGGTTTAAATATTCAATTTAAATCACTTCTGATTTATATAATTCAAAAAGCATTGCTAAATTTCTTTTAAAAAATAATTAAAAACTCCTTTATTTGTTTAAAAGGTAAATGACAAATGTCATTATGGTCATTCAAAATTCTTGGCATACGAACTTCACGCATATTCTATTTCTTTTTACTTGTAGATTGTCTTATTCCTATCTCGCTCCGCACGCTATAATCACACTCCTAATTTTGTGTCACAGGTGGCTCGTAAAATTTCACTCTCATAAATTTTTCATACCCTAAAGTATAACTTCAAAAAACAATACTGCTTTATTTATTTATCTATTTGATAATTGAAAAAAAGTGTTGATTTACTATCTATAGTTTTCTTATAGTCTAATCTGTTATAATAAACGTTAGTCATTAACAGCTATCGTGTTTAATTCGTGTGTAATCAAATTTAATACATAATTTATTTTCTTATTCAAATAGCGTCATCTGTTTTCAATTATTGTAACCAATAAAAAGTCGGGTCTGATAGTTTTAGACGTGACAATGTCGCACGAAAAAAAATCATGACTCATTGTCCCGTTACGCTCATTGTACGCAAGCGCCGCATCTATATCTCTTCCACTCGACGACTTAAGTATGCAATAATTTCATCAATGTTTTGTTATGACGTTGTGAAAAATATATGGAAATTAAACAATTTTAAAATTAAATTGAATTATTTTTAAATTATTATTTTTAATTTACAGCTATTATGTTTTATTCGTGTGTGGATTAAAAAAACATTAATATATTTATTTCCTTAATTTGAGACGTTGTTTAAATGTTATTATTTCATTTCTATTAAAAAGTTTACATGTAGCGTCAAAGTCAATCTAAAAATATTAATTTTCCCAACATTTAAAATAAAAATGCATCTATGACAACAAACTCTACACAATATATATAATTTTTTTTAAATAAAACTCACTTGTATAAAAGGTTGGTTTTGAGGGGCAATTCAACATCTTTTCCGTGTATTTTGAGGAATGAGAGAAGACACCATCTTAATAAACCGTCCATGTCACTCGGTATACCCTCTTCTGTATCAGAGCACTCTAAAAGACAATTAAATTTTTTATAATTCCCAAAATTAAAATAAATAATTTTATGCTTCAAAATACAAATTTTCTCTTATTAAGGCATTAATAAAAATGATTTCGATGAAAGTTAGACCTTAAGTTGCAATAATAAATAAATAATAAAACCATCATTAGTATCCGATTGGTGAACAAACATACACAAGGAACACACTATTCTAATTCCTCCTTTTTTGTAGTCGGTTAGTAAATATCTTAAAATGATTCATTAATATTTACATACATACACAATATTATATAACATTTTTCGTGTTAAAAAACTAAATTTGAGAAAACCCTTATTGGTCATACATTTCTAATAAGGGTGCGTTCAAGTATTACGTCATGCAATTTTTGGAGATTTTAACCCCTTCCCCCATTAGACCAGGGTAGATAGCCTTTAAAAAAAATAAAAAGTGAAAAAAATAATAGTAGGATGAAACCTATTGGAAAGGGAGGAGAATATTATAAAAATTAAAGGAAAAATAATTTACGGGCGATCTGAGGTCGGAAGGGGGAAAGTTTTAAGGGTAAAAAACGGTTTATCTCGATTTCCGGCAAAACTAAAAGTCCTATGGAAAAGTCAAATGGCAAAGTTGTAGGTAATAAAAAGATCTAAAACTTTTGTATTTACACATTTTTCACATAACCTCAAAATTTATGTGAAAAATTGAAAAACCAAGTTTTTGGTTTTTAATTTTTATCTTTTACAAAATGTATTTTTTTCCCACGAAATTTGGTGAAAACTTACCTTTTTATGTCTTTAATACGCTGTAATTTATTTGATTTGAAATAATAATTTTTTCACCTTATTTTGAATTAATATCGAAAAAGCACCCTAATTTTCAATCGAAAATTCACCCGTCAAAATATCAGCTTTTTTCAAAAAGTTGGTGTGCTTTCAGTTCGTTGAAATCTCTACTTTCCTATTCTCTAAAATCTAGTAGATGATCAGCCTCCAGTCCATCCAGTGCCTGACACAAGCCGTCAACTTTGGGTGTAAGACGGTTTCCTCACGATGTTTTCCTTCACCGTTCGAGCGAATATTAAATGCGCACATAGAAAGTCCTTTGGTGCACAGCCGGGGATCGAACCTACGACCTCAGGTATGAGAGAGTCGCTCGCTGAAGCCACTAGGCCAACACTGCTCAAGAAAGTTTAGTTTTCTTTTATTAGAAGTCTCACCAGTTGCAATTGTGTCTTCTAAATTTTGTGTTTCTTCTATTACTTTATTATCCGTTACATTATCTGGAATTAATCTAGGTTCGTTGACAACCGGAGCTTCAGGTACCAAGCTGGGCCACTCCTCTTTTACTTGTAGGTTAAGCTGTAATGTTAATTTAAATAGCTACACAAATATGATAGGCCGGGAGATAGTGACACAAAATAGTGGGTCCTGAAATGGTCCTGGTCCTGGTCCTAAAAATTCAACCATTTGTACCCTGTTACTGGTACAAATAGTTGAATTTTTTTAATGGGAAACATCTATGAGTTTCCGCACTTAAAACCCGATTTCTGGCGTGGCGACGCATGCCGTGGCACGCATCCGTGCGACGCGTCGCTATATTATGATGGTATATAAATACAGTCTATAAGCAGTAGTGTGTACGGTAAGTGTGTATTTCGAAGTCACTGATTATAACGAATTAAGTAGTCACGATTTGAAATAAATTCGTAAATTTTTGTATTTAATGAAAATAAATGATTTATTCAATAAATAGTCATCGTTATGTGGAAAAAAATAGTAATATTTTATTTTATCATTATGACATATTTAGTTCCTATCACAATCTCCTCTTTTCTGCATATTACTTTTACAAAATAATGTCGACATTTTTTTATTTAATCAACGCATTCGCGTAGCTATGGCGGGCTGTAAATCACACCGGAGAAGTTTGGCATGACATAACCGGCTCTTATTTTTTTATGGACTATGGGAAAGTAATAGAATTTTTGTGGACCAAATCGTTTGACACCCTATTTAATCTGACCAGTTCGACTAACGCCCACGCGATTTCTTCTTTCTTTTTTTCATTGCGTATTAAGACCTCTGAAGAACCACCATACTGGTACAAATGACCCACTATTTTGTGTCACTATCTCCCGGCCTATTAATACACAAGACACTGTTTTTTTAAAATAAAACTTTTCTTAAACAGATACATGAAACAACAACATACATCTGCTCTCAGTACCACAAAGTTATGATTATATAGCATATAATTGTCTATCCACTCATCCTTCAAAAATAAAAATTGTAAAGAGTCTATATATATATATATTTTATCAAATGTAATACAGCTTTTCAGCAAAGGTCATCTGACAGTAAATAATGCAATAATTAATTTGTTCTTATGTTTATTAAAGATGTATTCATATATAATACTTAGAGGCCGGTTTAGAAAATCAAAGTCCCCCGATTTTCTTATTTAGTGATTACGTCAACAGAAATTATTAACTTTTTACACATATTACCCACCCATTGTCTATGCTTGAAAACGAAATGCATTTTCGAGGATTCCTACAAAAAATTAATATGTTTATGTACTATTATTTTTGAGAGCTTTGCTTACTTTTGCTGCCAAGAGAAAGGGGTGGGGATAAAATATATGAATACTTCTTAAATGAATAAGGACAAATTAATTACATTATTTACTGTCAGATTACCATAGCTGAAAGGCTCTCAAATTCTTATAAAATTGTGTAACATCAAAGTTTTATGTAAAATTAAATTAAATTTAAAAATAATAATATTAAAAAAACAATATACCTGAGCCATATCTTGTATGACGGAGTTAATATTTAAACCGAGCTGTAGTTTTGGCCTTTCTATCTTGTTAAACTTAAGTTCTTTACATAAATTGTCACCTATTACATGTAAAACTTCTAAACATGTTCCCCTGAAATTGAAAAAATACATAGATTTTAGCAAGACCTTATTTTAAAATGTAAAAAAAAAAGTGATAGATGCCTTACATTATGCCCTAAAACAGAAGTGGCAATGCGCGGGGCATATAGCAAGATACACAGATAATAGGTGGACCTTAAAGACAACTGTATGGAAAGGACCAAGAGGAAGGAGAAGAGGTCGCCCAAAAAAAAGGTGGATAGAAGAAATAGAAGCAGTAGCAGGAAACAAATGGAGAAAGAGAGCCATAGACAGAGAGAGTTGGAAAAAGCTGGAAGCCTTTACCCGTAAAGGGGTTCTGATGGACGGTACTGAAGGAAGCTAGGAAATAGGATAACAAGCAAAAGAAAAAATAATGAATAAAAATGTAACATAATCTAAGCTGTATATTTTAATTTGCTTTTGTCATGATTAGGAAATAAAACGGGCTTTATTATTATTATCCTTAAGTATTGCATTCAATGGCCGAGTGGCAAGTGATTTGTCAACACAATATTCACCTATAAGGTGAAGGAAAACTTCTAGAGGCATGTAAGACACACAAAGTAATGTCAGGCGCAAAAGTCTATGCCTACTTCATAAAGAAAACATATGAGGCCTAGACAAATTATTATAGATCAACTGGTTTTTTGAATATATTAATTACATATAAAATTTGGGACTTGCATAATATAAAAGAAAAAGGAAACTGATATAGGAAAACCACTAAATATAGATGATAACATGTTATGCAAAAATTGGTAGTAGGTAAAAAAATAAAATAATTTATAGTGAGAATGGGTAGATGGATCATTGCAAATTTCAACTAACATAGTATGTTATTAGCTAACAACAAACAGTCCAAAGGCGATCACTTAAAATTGGTTAAATATACAAATAATTTGTAGTTACTGTCATTGATCTGTCAAATATTCAATTTAATTTGGCTAAAAAAAAGGAACATACAATATTTGTGTTGTTTAGTTTCTCAGTTTAAATTAAAAATTGTAAGTAAATTACCAACATAGATGCTATCAGAAGATTTCCTGAAGACATCATGGCTCGCCCTACAATAGCTGCTGCTGCATTGTCGTCTGTACATACTGCAAGTAATGATCCTTTATTGAATCGTGGAAAGGTTGTGGGGTCTGTGACAACTCCAGGGGCGTAAAGTGGCACTCCACCTTGCACCTGTAATATTGAGCATATCTATTATTATTCTTGATATTGTCTTTTTGAGTCTGATTCTTATATGAGACTTTCATTCTTGATGTTTCTGGCAGTACAATAATTGTTTCAGGTGGGTTTTTATAGCAGACACAGTTACAGTCATAAACTTATAATAATTTATAAAGAGAATTCTATCTTTAATTCTATTTTATTGTATACAAGCCTCTAAATAAAATTCTCTGCAGCCATTTGAGTACATGTGTATTAAAAGTTCATTAAAAATCATAAAAATGATAGGTCAGTACAGTTTTTATATATCACCCTTACAAAAATTACAGGTTTAAGGCTTGTATTTAAATTATGTTACTGCATTGCTTTGAGTTATGCAATAGTAAAACTGGACTTTGGTTTACTTCCGTTTGTCAAAACTTTGCACATATACCAAAATTAAAAGAAAGATTTCAGGCAAAAACAGCAGATCAATAACTTGCTTATTTTTTTCTTAAAGAAATATTATTTTTGATAAATGTGTCATATAAAGTAAAGGTCTAACTATACCTTGCTTAAAACAGGAGAGTGTATAACTATTGTTGGTATTAAATCAGGGACTTTCCAAAGTGCGCAAACAGTAGGAACTAATGTTTCTCCAGTATCTATGATCATCGGCACACCATCCACAGCATAAACACCGGCCGTTTCTCCTGAATGCAATACTAACTTCATGAGATTACATGTCGACTTATTTGGCACGATTTCTTTAAGTTTTTCCTCGTTGACTGACGGAAATCCTTTTTCAAGCCTCTGTATCAAGTGTTTTCTGTAAAAAAAGATATATATATATAAGGATATTTAGCTTTTCTAGTAAATGAACATAAAAGTTGAATAGGCAATCTAACCGCACTTACTTCTCTGAATTTTTGAGAGTATTTGTGGATTTCAATTTATACGGTTTAGCAAACATATTGATTAATTCTACAACACGGTTTTGAAGAGGTTTAGATCAACAAAATTAATAAAAACCTGTAATTTTCAATAAGAAGCCTATAAAAAAATTCAAAATACAGCAAATTAGAATGACAAATGACAATTAACCACCGATTACGACAATTTACATCTCCCCTAAAGACTATAGTGTGCTCTAGATTATTGTAATGTAATGTACAGTGTCAACTTCAAACTTTAAAACTTAAAAGTCTTTGTTGGGCTGCTTCTTTTTATGTTTTTATATTTCATAGCAAAGACGCACTTCACTCTATTAATTTAAAAACTCTCACTGCCCGATGAGACAGATATATCTGGTTCCAGTGAAGGGTTGCAAGAACTCCAGATCTCCTTCTTATAGTGCCTTCTTCTTTCGAACATTGGTGATAATCATGGCTACTTTGATTTAGGATGCTGATCTTCTGAACAATAACTTTGTCTTTAAACCAAACCATTACCGGATTCAAAGAAGAAAAATAATGTTCATGGGTTCATCAATATTCTTTTTGTTCGTCCGCCCCACACATGTACCTGATGTGATACAATCCGAACATACTAGAACAACGCAGGTTTCCTGGTACAATGGTGTTAATTAAGGCGGGGGTGGTGTAGGTTGATGTTTACTTGATAATTAAACTAATATGCCATAAATATGCAACTGCGCATTGCACATATAATTAAATTGTATTACGGAATCCCGGAACTTCATCATTGTTAAACATTATTAAATAAAATAAGTATATATTTTGATAATATTGTTAAAATATATATTGGTACAAGACTTTAGTTCATTTACCATTTATTATCTACATCACAGACTATTTTTCTGTAAAATTTGTGATCAGCGTTCTGTTCGGTGGAATTATTTTATCATGCACACGTTGAAAGACAATTTTAATATCAATATCGAATGTATTTTTTTAATTTTAACTTTTAAAAATTCTTTCACCGATTACAATGCTACATTATCCTCGAGTAACATAGACTGTATATATTTAAAAAATACTTTAAAAAATATATAATAAAGCCAGTAGGCACAGGTCGCTACTCTTTTTATTTTTTGTAGGCCCGTCGTCAATGTATAAAACATATTTGTGCCTGTTATGGTTATTTATTAAAGAACGCTAAACCATATATACCTAAATTATATTATTATTATCTAAATTATAAGTTACAAGTATCTATTCTAAACTTTATGATAATTACGGTGACAATAAAATTTACAAAAAAGTATCTAAATATTACATTTGAAGTTATTAATAGCTCCTAATAACGCGAATAACTGTACAGCTTGCCAGCTAGTGAAATGTATATTTATATTTAAATAGTATATGTAGTGTATGAAAGCTGCACTACATAACTAAATATTATATAAGACCTAAGAACCTAACAACTCTACGTATCTCAAAGCCCTACAGATGTACCCTAACACAAGCAGACGGAGCCCTACGGGCAGGATCAGAGATTCAAGAAGGTGGGATTATCTCAAAGCTATCGGGCATCACCACAATAATTAAGGGCCTAATACGGAGTGCAATAGGTACTTTCGAAAATCTAACCTAGTTCCTAGAATTTCACGTAAAATCAAACAACAAATTTTGAACGTTTATCCAAAAACCTAACAAGAGACGTTGAAGTGATCAATCAGTCACATTTAACCACAAATTTAACGGATCGTCTCGTAAACAGCTCTTTAAGCCTGTGTTTAAATACGTCGAGAGCATTATTTATTTATTGCACATAATAAAATTGAAGAGAAGAATTTCAATAGAGAAGACGGCCTAAAATTGTCAAACACCTGGGATCTAATAATATCCAAATTAAAATCTCAAGATAAAAAATCCGCGAAAATAGAGGACACCGTGAGCCATTTCTGCCAATACCCTCCATCTTTTAGTCGATGCCAACTTCGGGGAAATAAATACAGATAATACAACTTTTTCTACAGCTGTGATACTTTTTGACATTCAACACCTTTTGTCTTCAGTTACCGTGACCACGCACGCTGTAAAGCACGCGAAACGTCGGTTAAATTTAAAATTATGAAAAGTAATTGTAAATACATAAATTTAATCCGGTTAAAAATTTATTTTAGTTTTCTATTTATCTATATTAATAGGATTAGATATCCTATGTATGTGCATGCTCGTAATTGACCAAGCCTTGCTTGTGGTGAAGAAATCCAAACGTTTTTTATTTATTGTTTGTTACAATAATTAACTGGTTTAACATATGATGCGGAGAATAATGGTTGTAGGTGCTTACAAACAATTTGTAAAAATATCTTGGCGATTTAAGAGTGCCAGTTCTTCCCGTTCTACGTTCCCGTTGAGAACTTATAAATATTAATTTACAAGCAATTTTTACTAACGTTTATATGTGTACATTAAGTTACTGGCGCTCAACGATGAACGCAATACAGCGATGAAATGCTGCCAGCGTTAAAGGTACACTGCCACAGGGACCAAACTTTTAAATTTGTTTTAATTTTCTTTTTATAATTTTTTTATAATTACTATCATGGTAAAAGTATAAATACTGTATATTTGTACATTACTAATAAACTTCAGAAGTATCGACTGAATATGATTTATTATCTTTTTGTCATTGTTCGTATGCGCTCTAAAATATAAATCACATAAAATCTGGGTTTAATTCGAGAAACCCTTAACATATAATCCACTGTTAAAAAGTCGGTGAACCACGCCACATCGGAGGTTTATCCCTGGCAATATCAACCCCGGATACTGCAATGCAGGCTCCGCATTGCAGTACATATGGGCTTAAATGAACTTTGAGTGGATTCAAAATATGCTATGCATTCACACTGCAGATTCGGATTTGGAGACTGAAATGGAAACCGAAGGCGAACGTTATAATTTTATCAGACAAACTTACGAAGCACAGCTATTTTTTCGTCATTGCAAAAACAATTTTTGAACAGAGACGAGTCACTCTATTGAGTCTGATTGTTGATGTTGTTCAGATTCCATTAGACTGTTATATACTTTCACAGCTAAAGATGCGATACACTGACAGCTCACAAGAGTAAAATTAAATATGTATAATTTGAACCTTTACTAATTCAAGTCACAGCTCACGTGGTTGTTCTAACAGGTACCTACAGGTTTTAACAAGTGAAGATGCGATACACCAAAAGCACCCAAAGCACCAGAAGAATTTCTCGTTTCCTTTCAATGTAGCGAAGACTATACGAACGAGTCCTCCGCTCAGACATATTTGAAATATAGGTTAAAGCCAACCTTCTTTATAGGTAAGAAAGATATTTGACAGTCGACACAGACCTCAATATATTTGTAATAAGATTAAAAGTATTGAAACATTTAACTATTAAATAGTTCCAACTTCGATGTGGCGTATGGGAGACATACTTAGCGATATTTAAACTAAGTGCTTAGCATGTCAAAAATTGTAGTTTGTATTTTGATAACGAGATTCCAGAGATCGCGCTAAATCTCTTTTCCGAACTGTTACCCTAAGTATCGACAGCTCAAATATAAGAGTCTTTCCTCCAACTTCGATTTTGTTTCCTTTGGAGTAGACTCTTGAGCCGTGGGGTGCAGCCCTGCGATTCTGTAACTCACTTTTCTTTTGAAAAGGTGGGAGCTTGTAGTTTATTGTTTATCAGAATGCCAAATCGTAAAATGACTGCTTCACGACTGATTTGAGAGCGACCGCCGATGCCAAAACCGCTGTGTGAGTTCGAAAAGTGAGTTACAGAATCGCAGGGCTGGTGGACAGGCGCTTATTAAGGATTTAAGTTGGCGCCTAGTAGATAGTACCGGTGACCCCAGAGCTGGTGATTTCCTCGCTCAACGAATAAGTATCGCAATACAGCGAGGAAATTTAATTTTCTTTTTAATTATTTTTATTATTACTTTTTAATTATTTTTATTATTACTTTTTAGGTTCATAAAATTGTTAATATTTTATTGTTGTTTAGGTTTTATAAGTTTTAATTGTTTTTGGCAACAATTTTCGACTTCCATTTTATGTTCACCAGAATTCTTGTGACATTTCTCGTCAATAAAACCTTTTGAAAAGCCTTAAGAGAAGCTTTTAAGAAGAAATATGTCACGAGGCCGGCGCTAACGAGCTTTCGTGAAAAACTAAGTCCACATACTTAGTTTTAATGACACATTTCTGCGAGCTTTAGCAAGTTTGTTTATATGAAATAAACTTTATTATACATATTTAAAAGGATGTATAGTCAAAACAGTAAGTGCAGGTGCTAGTTTTTTCCAATTGACATATTAATGATTTTAATAAATTCTACATAACACTTACAACCTTTTTAAGTTTAGCCCTCAGCCCTCTATCTGTTTCATGATCATTTGTTAATCTAATAGGCAAGTTCATCAGCCTCCTATGCCTGACACACGCCGTCGACTTGGATCTAACGCAAGCCGGTTTCCTCACGATGTATTCCTTCACCGTTCGAGCAAATGTTGAAAGAAAGTCCATTGGTGCACAGCCGGGGATCGAACCTACGACCTCAGGTATGAGAGTCGCACGCTGAAGCCATTAGGCCAACACTGCTCTAAATTCTACATAACACTTACAATTTGAGATGGAATTTCAGGTTGTAAGTGAATGTATAAAGTTTTGAATCTATAGTGAAAATAGTGAATATAAATGGGCAGAAGGGTTTTTATTAGTGTTCTTTTTATGTTAACGGGCAGGAGTTAATAATACCGCCTATGAACTCTCTCAATGCCAGCGCGAGTGCGTTGCCGGCGTTTTAAGAATTGGTACCCTCTTTTCTAGTAGCCTAATTGGTTTGGAAATACTTTAGTGGGCCGCTGGTTCCACATATACTCTTCTAATATAATAATTTAGTGGTTAAAGTGCGTAACAGGATATCCGATTCCTGTCCAGAATGAAGAATAAATAAAAAACAAACCAGTGACACTACAACCTTTTTAGTTCTGGGCCTCAGATTTTTGGGTCTGTTTCATG